AATTTCCAAATTCTTTGAACAAATATATATCCAATTATTTTTAGTAAATATTGAATGATATGTCCTGATAGTTCTCTATTCAAATAGCTCCAAGAGTACCATAAAGTTCTATGCTACAATCGCAGTAGTTTTAATATCAATATACTATATATGTATGTATGTATACAATAAATATAATATATAACTAGCAGTCTTATGTAATATTGGCTTTTCTTGCAACTTGCTTTGGTTCGAATGCAACAACTTTTGATGGCAGCTGAAAACGAGTCTGGCGAGTCGTAGATGCCTAAACAAGAAGCGACCGTTTGGCAGGTTGCTTAAGTTTTTAGCGAGACAATTGTTCCTTGCCATGTGTCTTGCCGGGCTGCCCATCCAGCGAATGCCCATGCCCGAGTGAAATTAGCCAAAAGTAATCCTTTAAGTTTAGTGCGGCAAGAATTGCACACAATTGTTGGGGCGGGGCGGGGCGGAGCAGGCAGAGGCAGCACAGCACAGCACAGCCCAGTCAGACAGACAGAGTTGCTGGCGGAGGTTGAGGCAGAGTCTGAGGCAAAAATGACGCCCTCACGAATTGGACCAACTGGACGGAGGAGGCGCCTTCGCACTGCTCCCACTGTCGTCCGTAACATTGTCAGCCACGTTGATGACATTGTGCAAAATTTTGTAGCTGTCGTCGTCGTCGTTGTCGTTGTTGCTGGCTGCGCCATCTTCAGCCGCCTGGCTATAAAACTTTTATAGTAAAAAGTAAATGCCACAAATGAGCAATCGAAAATTTCGCATTATAATGCAAACTGTGTGCATTTTTCGGGTTATTGTAGTCTACTTTTCGGGCTAGAGACAAACGCATACCACGAGAATGCCACACGGACACGACAGCCATCGTCCTGCTGCTGCTGCTGCTGCTGCTGCTGCTGCTTGTTCTTCTGCTCTGCCACTTCATCCATGGCAGTCGTCATGGTCGCCTTTGCCGTTTGCCAGCGCCTAGCGCCTGGCATTCATTTGCATTGCTTTCTCTCTCCGTCCGTCCGTCCGTCCGTCGTCGTCGTCGTCGTCGTCGTCGTCTCTGCTCTTCTTTTGCCTCTATTAATAATAATAGAATTTTTGGAAATTTTGCAGCAGCTCTGTGAAAGGAAAAGGAAGCTCGCCTCGCGATTTTTGCATTTGATGACAACGAACGGGTTGGTTAGTTGGCAAAAACCACTGCCAATGGCATCTCCATCTTACCCCACCTGCTCGACATTTCCCTTTGACTGTATTACATAATTCAGCAGAGTTGACAGCCCCGCACTGCCCCGCGCTGTCACATCACGTCCCTCCCCCCCCTGCCAGCTGCACTGACAATAATGCTAATAATGTTGATAATGCTCATACTTAATACTTGCAAATGCATAAAATACTCGTATACCGCCCATGAATTGTTCTCGCTTATAGCTAATGGACTCGTTGCTCAACATCTTGGCAACGCGATTAAGCATCGTCGGGAGCTGGGCTAGAAAAGTAGCAATTGGCTTATGCTGACTATGTGGGGGGACAAAGGGAAAGTTGTTGAAGAGTCTCAGTGAGTGAAAAGGGAGAACGTGCTTCGATTCCATTTGTTTTGCGTTTAATTTTCATGTACGCTACGATACAGCATAAGCGAATGAGAAGATAAAATTCCATTTGCCTTACATTTCATTTTCATGTGTGGTACGATTTAGTCAGGTTCTCAATATCGATGAGCAGAATCGAACATTATCTAATACAATTGATGACTTGTGATCGAAAGCTGTATCGATAACGATAGTTACCTGAATCGATAACTTTACTCGATAGCTCGTTCATATAGTGAAGAAAAGTATATTGATTTTTTGCATGAAGTCAAACAGATTCGAAGCTAGAGCTTGCAGCTCTAAACATATCGATAACGATTTTTGATGGAATCGATAACTTTATTTATTGATTCTCACGGGAATCCAAACTATTTCTATAGAGACTTGACATGTCTAAATTTCATACCAAGCAGCCCGTCCATATCTTTAGAGTTACGATCATCAGAGGAGTGACTAGAGGCAAATTCTTTACCTTTGGATTTGGCGAGCGCTGCGAGCAAGTATTATGCAGTCAGTGCTGCCCGATTTCATAATTCCCCTTTGTTTATTCCGTCTGCTTTGCACATTGAATTCGAGTCTGCCTCAGCTTCGGTCAGATTCTAGCTCTCTCCCTTTGCTTAGTACATCGTCTCGATAACGATTTCTCTTTCGACTCCTTGTCGATTAAATTTTCCAAGTTTTCTCGTCTCATACTTCATGTTTGGCCATAAAAATGCCAAAAACTCATTGACTTATGGGCCAAGGCTTGCCTCTAATTGCAGACGCTCCCACTCCCGCCCCCTCACCCAACTGTCCTCGAGTCAAGCAGCTGGCCAAGTTTTCGGATTGGGCTGGAGCAGGAGCTGGAGCAGGTGGGGCAATTGGCAGAGAGATAATGTCCTTGGCTGAGGCATATTAAAATTGGATTTCCAAAAAATATTAATGCATATACTTGGACTTATTATTATTATTATTACTACTATATCTATCTATATGCTTATAAATTAGCATTTTGGGCGGCTGTCCGGGCGTTCGCCTCGGAATGCGTTATTAATGGCAAATTAAAAGCAATAAAAAACAGATGTGCTTAACGTAGCACATTTTACGCGGCACAGGCCACGCCCACCTCCGGCGATGCAAGTGAGGGGAAGGGCGAGAGGGGGGCATGGCTGGGCTCTTAGAGCTGGGTTACAGCTCATCAGCTGTGGGCCGCGCACCTTTAGTCAAGAAGTTGGCATCGTTGTCGTTATGAAAATGACTTTGCTCTTTGCTGTTTTGGCCTGGCCGAAAGGTGGGGTGCTCTACACCCACACACACACACACACAAAAACACAGACGCATACACTGATACATAGACACATACACACACTTGTGCAAAAAAGTTTTGCATTCGAAATTTGTTGGTCTGTTGCGCTGCGCTGCGCTGCCGCTGGCTTATGCAGTTTATCATTTGCTCTCCATCCAGGTGGGTAATTTTAATTTTAAGCTTGAGTAATGACAATATTTACTTCCACTTAAGCGACAACGTCACACGCTTTAATGGCATTTTGATTTGAGCTGTTGTTGTTGAAATTGTTGTTCCACTTCTTCCTGCTTTTACCTTTGCCATTTTACTTTTTTGGCTGCTAGACGCCAACAGCTGCTGACAGTTGCTCCATGTCTCAACATTTACCAGAAACATCAAAAAATATCAGTTTTTTTTTTTTTTTTTTTTATACCCTGAACCCATTTTCAATGGGAAATCAGGGTATAATGGTTTTGTTGAAATGTATGTAACAGGCAGAAGGAGGCGTGGCAGACCCCACAAAGTATATATATTCTTGATCAGGGCGACGAGCTGAGTTGATTTGGCCCTGTCCGTCTGTCTGTCCGTCTGTCCGTCTGTCCGTCCGTCCGTCTGTCCGTCTGTCCGT